TTGGAAAGGGTAAAGCGACTAACGTCTGCAGAAATAGTTTTTGTTGGAGCAGACAGACTCCAAAGGACGTCACTCTCCTCAGCAGTCCACTCTGTCCATGTTTGTTGGGCATCTGTGTTGTCAGTCCAGTCCCTGTTTGCTGCAAACACACTGATACCTGTATGCCCGAACTACCTCTGTGTCCACATCCTGGATGTTCACTGGTGTGATCAAGGGATGTCTTATCCTGAGAAACTAACCCTAACCCAGCACCAATATCCCCTGTCTTGTTTGCATTGAGCTGGAGACGTTTCTGCTGTATCAGGCCCATGTATTCACCTTCATCTCCAATAATAAAATATGGTTGATGGATTTTACATTAAAGGCAAGGCAAGTTTATTTGTATAGCACATTTTAACAGCAAGGTAATTCAAAGTGCTTTACATAAAACATAAAAGCAACAGGGAAATATAAAAAAGTTTAAAAGCAACATAAAATATAATAAAAGTTACAGTGTTACAATCAGGGTTGAAAGAGTTAAATGGAAAATAAAAACAGGCTGAGGGGTTGAGCAAATAATTGAGCTACAGTTATTCTGAAAAAAGAATAAACAGAGAAGTACACTTAATCTACTCTCTCTAGCTAGTCTGTACTCGGGTCCATAGCAATCTTTGGGTCCACTGAAACTCCAAAAACCCTCGGACACTACAGAGAAACCAGGACATGTCTGTCCGCAGGCCGCTTTGATCCAGTTATACTCTGGACCCACCTGCGCGTTTACAGGTGGACACAGGTTCCTGCAAATCAATCAGGCGTGAGATTTAAGACCACTTCCTTCACTCTGTTCAGTCTCACTCTCATTATCTTTTCACTCAACTACCTACTCATTTCTCACCGTGTAAATATTTAATTAAAAGCAATGATAAAAAGCTAAAAACAAAGAAAAAGAAAACAGGACAGTAAAAGTTACAGTGCAGTGTAAGTTATCAATAAAAAGAAAAGTCTTCAGTCTTAATTTAAAAGAACTGACTGTTTCAGCAGACCTGCAGTTATCTGGGAGTTTGTTCCAAATATACGGAGCATAATAACTGAACGCTGCTTCTCCTTGTTTAGTTTTGACTCTGGGGACAGAAAGCAGACCTGCCCCAGATGACCTGAGAGGTCTGGATGATTCATAACGAAGCAGAATAACAGAAATGTATTTTGGCCCTAAACCATTTAGTGCTTTATAAACTAACAGCAGGATTTTGAAATCAATTCTTTGACATACAGGAAGCCAATGTAAAGACCTCAGAACTGGAGTGATGTGATCCACCTTTTTGGTCTTAGTGAGGACTCGAGCAGCAGCGTTCTGAATCAGCTGCAGCTGTCTGATGGATTTCTTAGGGAGCCCTGTAAGGACGCTGTTACAGTAGTCGAGTCGACTGAAGATAAATGCATGGATAAGTTTTTCCAGGTCCTGCTGAGACATAAGTCCTTTAATCCTTGATATATTCTTCGGGTGATAGTAGGCTGACTTTGTAATTGTCTTAATGTGGCTCCTCAAATTCAGTTCTGAGTCCATGACTACACCAAGATTTCTGGCTTGATTTGTGGTTGAATTGATTAGTTGATTGACAGTAAAGTAACTCACAACAACGTGTTATAGTGTGAAGATCTGTGTGTCTGTTCTACACAAGATGGAATACAACTACAACAATAGTTAACTTCCATATCTTTTTCTCTGTAGGCTGGAGAGGAAACATGTGGCCACACATTTAGTTCAGCAGAGAGCTCTATCAGGGGCAGATGCTGTCAATGCACTCAGACCGTTTTATTTTGCAGTCCATCCTGACTTCTTTGGTCAATATCCCAGGGAACGGGTAGGTCTGTTATATATGATGAATTGTTAAGAAATTCATGAATCCAAATCAATATATGGGTGTATACTGTATATCAGTACAGTATCTCACAAAATTGAGTACATCCCTCACATTTTTGTAAATATTTGATTCTATCTTTTCATATGACAACACTGAAGAAATGACACTTTGCTACAATGTAAAGTAGTGAGTGTACAGCTTGTATAACAGTGTAAATTAGCTGTCCGATAAATTGTTCATGAGAATTTTACTTTTTGATACTATAATAATAATATCAATTGCTTTTTCAGTCCACGAGAAAAAGAGTTTTCCTTTTGGGGACACAATTTGAAGTTGAGGAAACAAGTAATGAATTGCAATATATCGCAAGATGCATAATATCATATTGTGACTTAAGTATCGTGATAATATTGTATCGTGGGGCCTCTGGTGATTCCCACAGTCTTTAACTGCACTCCCTGGAGAAATATTGTCTAATTTTTGGAAAAGGCGATCTCAGAAAGAAGCAGACAGTTTTGCAGTTGCATTGTGCATTTGAAGGTTGTATTCAGGCGGTCAGACAGACTCAAACTGACATGAAAAAAATAAAGACAGAAGCTAAAGCCTACCGACTCACAACTCGCCATTACTACAGCTGTATGAACCCAAAGTAAACACTTTTCTGTGATTTAAATAGCAATAAACGGATCAAACTGATGTTGAAATAACTACAATATGATGCAGATTTGTTAAACATATGAATTCATGCTTTGTCAGGTCTGTCAGAAGGACAACAACTTCTAAAATGTTTGTTTTCTGAATGGAGTTCGGATCGATCAGGACAATGCTATGCTAACTTGTTCACAGTAAAGTACAATAATAGGTGGAATAAAGTTACAGACATATTTTCCACCAGGTAGTTCAACCTCCTCGCTTTCTTTTCTCCAAGTAATGTCCAGTTTTGTCCAGTCTTTATATAAATATGAAGTCGTAGTCCAACAGAGCTGTGGGTGGAACCGGATGTGCACAGAAGCTTGCTGTTAAGAAGCTTCATGATTCGAAGATAAATAAACGTTGTAATCTAAATTAAAAAGCTAATTTAATATAAGCAGTTTACTCCGAGCGTATGGCGTAGTTGTCAGAGCACAATCCAGACCGACTACTGGTATTTATTGGTCCATCCTCTGGATATGACGCTGAACATACGTGCACTCAACTTCTTTGGTCAACTATGGCAAGGCCTGTTCTGAGTGGAACCTGTCCTTTTGAACCGCTGTATGGTCTTGGCTAGGGTTGGCTGATGTCTACAAAATTTCCTTCAGACGATGTCTACAATGAAACATCGGGATGGACGATGTCATCAAGGGCGCGCGCACGCACACAGGGTGGCAGCAGTAGTCTTATGTGCGTGTTCTTGCACAGACTTCACTTGGTAAAAAAAATTGGTAGACCATTAACTAACGTTACAAGTCGCAGTGGATATTTTAGGCACGGACCAGGTAAAGCAACAGTGAACACACTACGTCATTAATAAGCCGATGTGTGGCTCACCTGCTGCCGTGATAACGGATCGTGGGTGGAAATATACGGAATAAGTTCGTATAGTTCTCAGTCTTTAGGTAACTTTATGAAACATACTGCTGATGGAGAAAATGGAGCAGACAGCCTCTCTGTCTCTGAGTGAGACAGAGAGGCGGGGCAAGCCGGGGTGTTTACCTGAGGTGTAGGTGTGTGTGAGTGTGTCAGAGTGTGGGGAGAAGAGAACTCCGAGATAGGTGCAAAGCATACTTAAAAACAATAATAAGAATGTTCGTGGTCATTAAAACCTGCTTTCACAGGGTGGTATAATGTGGAAATTAGACTCTTTTTTTGCTGGGGTTTTACAATCATGATGCAGGCTCAACGTTGTGAAGTCTGTGAGCCATCGCCGATGGACGATGCCTTCGTCTACCGGCCCAACCCTAGTCTTGGCCACCGTACTGCTGCTCAGTTTCAGGGTCTTATAGCCTCGGCCATCTTTATGTAGAGCAACAATTCTTTTTTTCAGATCCTCAGAGAGTTCTTTGCCATGAGGTGCCATGTTGAACTTCCAGTGACCAGTATGAGGGAGTGTGATAGCGATAACACCAAATTTAACACTCCTGCTCCCCATTCACACCTGAGACCTTGTAACACTAATGAGTCACATGACATTGAGGAGGGAAAATGGCTAATTTGGCCCAGTTTGGACATTTTAACTTAGGGGTGTCCTCACTTTTGTTGCCAGCGGTTTAGACATTAATGGCTGTGTGATGTGTTATTTTGAGGGGACAGCAAATTTACACTGTTATACAAGCTGTACACTCACTACTTTACATTGTAGCAAAGTGTAATTTTTTTCAGTGTTGTTACATGAAAAGATATAATACACTAATCAATTCAGCACTAACTTCAAAAATGTGAGGGGTTTACTTACTTTTGTGAGATACTGTAGTTACCTGAGGCATTCTAACGTTGTGTTCAGACTATCAGTAGTGCTGCGTGTGTAGCAACAGGATCACACCAACACAGACAAATTAAGCTTTTTGCTGAAGGACTACTGTTGGTCAGAACACAGCCCTAGTTATCATCATGCAAAGAGTTTGTGGAAGAGGTGGCTTCACCACAGCATGCAACATTTAATCTTGTGTTCTACAGGAAGTGAATGAGAATTCATTAAAGAGGCTAAATGGCTATCTGGATAACCTGCAGAAGCCTGGCTCCTGCTCAGTTCAGCCACTGAAGCTTACCTTTTATGTCAGGGACACAAAGGACAGCAGTGATGTGCAACCAGACCTCCTCACCTCCGGTACAGTTTCCATGAAAATTTGTCATAATATTATAGTGAGTAATAGTGAGTTCTGTCTTTATAAATCTAAAATCTCCTGCTTGGTTTTCAGGGTTCCGGTCAGTGAGTTTCACCCTGCACACAAATGATATCTACAGCACAGTGATGAACGTCCTGAAGTCCTGCAGCCTGCCCATGGAGCACATGAAGGGACTGGAAGCAAGTGCAGAGCGATCTAAAAGTCCACTCGAGGCAGGGGTGCCTTTCTACAGACCTATCAAATGGGATAAGAGCTACTACACCTTCACTGGCTTCAGAGACCCTGAGCAGGAGCTGCAGCAGGCGAGGAGAGTGGAGCCTACACTCAGGTTGGTAACAATGGTCTGCACAAACCCCTGCGCGGACATCTGTGTGCATCTCAAAATGTATGTTAGAGAGGCCTGTCACGATAATTACAGTATCAACGCACGATATATGGACATGACCTTGGTATTGCCTATTTATTTGTTTACATGCATTTTTGTTTACATGAGAATCAACGTCACAATATTTCAGCCAGTCACGCTGCTTCTGCGGCTGTCGGAGCTGATCGCGGCCATTCTAGACAATGCTCCGCTCTGTGGAGAATTCACGGTGAATACACTATTTTTTACGGAAGCTGCGTCAAGCTGCGCAGAGCAGATGATCCGGGCAAGAATTCTGACACAGAAACGGCACTGAGAATCCGATCAATTTTCAAAATACAACACCCTGCATTGAACGGTGCTTATCAACAATAAACTCCATTAAAACAGACAAAAACAAACCATTTAACATAAAGGACAAATGACTAAATCAACAAAATCTGAGCAAGTCAGCAAAATCAGAAAAGCATATCCCAATAAAGATACACATCCTAATATAGAACATTTTTTGTAAATTCATTGAAATATGGCATTTCCAACTGTAACTTGGGATATTTCTCTGGATTATAAAGGTGGGATAAGTGATTCTTAGATAAATCCAACACCATAACAAATACCATAATTGAGTGAACAATGACACAGCAAGTAATGTAACTAATGTTAGGTAGGTTGTGGATTAGCAAACTGAAGCTACTTGCTGCTGCAAAGCTAACGTGAGAAGATTAGACGGCCTCAAAGCAGCACAGCAGCTCCAGACAGCGACACTCACAACTCTCCTGCTGCTATAACTAACATCAGCATGTCTAGGCGAACTATAGAGTAAGCTGTCTGTGGCCAAGTCATTTAACACTGACACACATATGCACTACTGGATAATGTTGTGTGGCTCGTCCATTATTCTTAATGCAGATTTCTTCCCTGCAACACCGGCTCGTGTGGAAGAACTGACCTCGGTGAAGTTAGTTTCAAGCTGGATATTACTTTTGTTGGACATTTCATAGATATTGAATTCCAGTGTAAAACTTCACCACGGTGCAAAGCGCTGTTCCCTCACCGAAATGTTACGCTAAAGTGTGGAATTTGCGACACAACAAAATAAACAATAGAGCATAAAGGTAAATGATAGATGTTTCCTCAAATGATAGGCCTAGATATCATCATATTGCACAGCCCTACAGGGAAGTGCAGTTTGAACAGAGGTAACCACACAGGGTTGAATTGATGGGGTTTTTTTCTCTCAGCGGTCCATTCAAGTGCCCAAACTGTTGCGGCACCAGTGCGTTCCATTTTCTCGGAAGTCGGAGCACTGAGCAGGGAATGACGTTACATCCGAGTTGACGGCATTTCAGTTAAAAGTCAGAAAACCTTGCCTGGCCAGCTGTTGTTTACAACTAGCCAGGTTTTCCATTGTTACGCCGGTTGATTAAAAAAACAAAACAAAAAAACGCATTGTGCTGTATTTACGCATAATAAACACAGTAGCAACACTTCCACAGACCGCAGTTGGACAGCACTTTGTGTACAAAAGTTTCTATGAGACACAAGTACACAGAAGTGCTAATAAACAAAACACAGCTTTCACCAACTGTTGATACTCGGAGCAGCCATCTTGGATCACAAAGTTTGGTAGTGTGGTTCTCCCGACTTTCCAAGTCCCTTAAAGGGGACTTAAAGGGGCGTTCTCTTTGACTTAAAGGGGCGTTCTCTTTGAAATGTCCGACTTTGAACTTGGAAATTCCCACTTCCCATGTCAAATGGAATGAACCACTACACGCTCTACAGCCTCCCGAGGAAGGGTTTTCACCGGAAGACAGTGGTGCCTAGGCAGAAATGGCTGATCAGTCTTTTCAACCTGTCTCCTAACAGTTTTTGTTCACCGGCTTTGGTCCTTCGGTATGAGGAACCAAAAATGACATATCTATAAATGAATAAATAAATGCAGAAATAAATTTTATTTTATTTAAATTAATTTTATTAATTTTTTGTAATAACATTTTTGTATTTATTTATGCATTTCTACATTAATTTTATATTTATTTATTTCTACATTTTTCTACATTGTTTTTGTGTGTTTTAGTTGTTGTTGTTGTTGTTGTTATTATTATTTGTCTGCCGCGCAAATTCCCATGAGCCGGAATGAGCTAGAAACATGAAACTTGGGGGAATAACTGGAAATGGTGTGCATCAGCTTCCAGAGAAATATGAACCCAATCAGCCACATGGTGGCGCTATAATTAAGGCTTAAAAATTTTAACTTTGAAAGGCCATGCCCCTTACACCGTAAGGCCGATTGACTTAAGATTTTTCACACAGGTGCAGCTCAGTGTGCTCTACAAAAAAGCCTCTAGGACTATTGAGGTCCGCCTAGAGTTTTTTTCCGCCATTTTGAATTTTTTGAAAATCACATTTTTCATCACATCTCCTAGACCGTAGCTCCGATTGCCACCAAATTTTCAGTGAATCATTGTATCATTCCTATTAAAAGTTGTATAAAGCATGTCAATATCTCAATTACTTTTCAAGAAATGGACCAATGAACTTTGAAAGGGACGTGTCTCTGGACATGAATGACCACAAATCAGCAACCGTAGGGCCAATCATCACAAAACTCTGTTCAGATAGTTGCCTCAGATATACCTGGACAGTTTGATGTACATATGTTACTAGGGGGCACTATAAGAAGAAGAAAGGTGCTTAGCATTACACAAATTACACTATAAATGACATATTCATTCTCCAATCATCACAAATCTCTCAGGATATGTCCTCATAAGTTTCATTCACATCGAACACCCGGGGGCGCTATAAAGGCAAACAAACTGCAGGGGATAAAACGCAAAACAGGCTACAAAATGCATATTGTTTGTCCAATCAACACAAAACTTGCAGGATATGTTTAGATAAGCACCTCACACATACACTGCAAGTCTCATTCAAATGGACCACTAGGAGGCGCTATAAATGCATAATAATTGGATGTGGAATGAAACAAATCAAGCTATAGAACAGAAAATACATGTCCAATTGTTACAAAACTTGCAGAATGTGTTTCGTAACAATATTCAACCGTATGTGTGAAATCTTTTTGATGGCAATATTGCGAAAAAAGGTATGAACGCGAATTGCCGCTTGCGGCTATATTTTATTTCTGTATTTCCACATTTATTTTTCCCTGCGCCTGTATGCTAATAGAGTGGGTGGTGCCAACATCAGTCTGAAACAGGAATGGTTAGCTGGGGCCGCATCACAAACCAGAAGAAGCAAGTGAGTCATCTACATGACACAAGCCAGCTACACAGTAGATTCCTTTAGTCAAACATATTCAGTGTCAAAGTACATGGATTCTTCCATGGTTATTACAACAACAGCTAGAGTAAGATTCTTCCACTGTTGGTGTAGTTTTTCGTATTTAAAAGACGTGAAAGAATTACTCCGGAAAGCCCCGTCCAACTCCTTCTCTGGGATTTCAACCTTCAACCAACAGGAATTTTTACAGCGCCATTTTCCTTGTCGAAAATCTGTGGTAAGTGTCTGTCTCTAAATTACTTAAATCATTGTTTTGCATTTCAAGAGAAGCCGCATTGTACAACAACTTAATATTTATGTCCACCTACACTGCAGCTGGCTGTATGTTTTAAAACAGAATTCTGAGGGGCGAACGTGACAGAGTTGATGGCTAACGTTAGCTCCAATGTGCCATTAAATACATGAGCAAAGCCCTTATAAGCAAAGGTTAGGTGAAGTCCAGTTGGTAAATGCTCATTACTATAAGTGCACCAAAACCTTTACACATAAAAAGCTTTAACTTAATCCAACCAAGCCCGCTTCATCTGCGTGCCTTGCAGGCTAGAATTGCGAAACATTATTGGATAATTCTTATAGTTGACATTTCTCTGGGCCAATCGGAATCTTAGCACACAGTGTCAACTGAGCTCGCCATTGGATGAGACTCCTGGCTACCACGCGAGTCTGATGGAAACTTATAACGTGAAGGAATCTTATGTGAAATTCGAGGTAAGTCAAGCTTTTTGGAGCAACAACAGCTATTTGTTTGCTTGATTCAGTTAACGTTAGCTACCGCTTTTTTATGTGATATAATTTACAATAATATTGTATTGTCGTCATACCTATTACGTTATTATAATTACGTTAAGCTATGCTTAAAGTGGTACCGCCAGACCCGGAGATCGGCTGAATGGTTTCCAAAACGGTAAAAAAGTGTTTTACTCGAGGGGAGGTGGAAAATGAGCTTAATTCCCCAAATGGTGCAATATCCCTGTAACGTTAGCTAGGCTTATCGTTAGCCGAGTGCTCTGCCCTGAGTTCCGAGACATAACGTTACGGCTACTACTCGAATTCTGAGCTACCATGAATATTAGGTTGTTGTGATGTGGGTAAGTTAAATGTGAGTGTTTACACAACAGCTGATTATTGTTTTACGATAAGGAGTCTCCACAGGGTGTCTTATTTAGAAAATTGACCGGATCCTCTATGCCGTTCTGTGTGTGACTTCCTGCCTCGTTTGATCTGCTCTGTGCTGCTTGACGCGGCTAGAGGCGAAAATAGACTTGCTGCCTATTCTCTGTGGAGCAAAGCGTAGACGCTTCTGTGACGCGCTGCGGCCGCAGCTGGTGGACTCACGAGCATTACTATAATGGCCGCGATTAGCTCCGGCAACCGCGCCGCAGCCATAACGCGCCGTAGACAGAGTCAATGGATTTTAGGGGTCAGTGTAACATAAAGCAGTTTTCAGTTTGGCAACCGGGTTAATCTCTTGTTGCATGGGATGCGCCGCATACCTGGTAAACGGTAATCTCTAACAACATAGGGCTATTTAGATAAACAATTTTGCTGCTCTGTAAACAACATTTAGTTGTATTTAGAATATTTAATAGAAACCCTATGTTGAATTTAAAAACAATCAGGCAGCCAATATGCGCACTTCAATATTTTTTGGCAAGTGATCATCTCAATATATAACAATGTTATCGCAGATCTCATCGTGCAGGCCTACCTCACTCCTTCATTCGCTTCATGTCTTATTTGGTCTGTTGGTTGTTTGCTAGGATGGGTGAACACGCAAAATGGTCAAAGGCTTGGATAGATTTTATTTAAAGCCAGAGATGGTGCTCGCAGTTAATATTTACAGACTAATGAAGTGTTGCAGGTTGCGGTTGCTAATGCTGGTTTGAAGTCAGTACATCAGAGCAGTAACTGTCTGTTGTGGTAATGCTAATAAGTTAAATATTATACACACACACACACACACACACACACACACACACACACACACACAATAAAGTCATGTTTCAAAACAACTACTCCTACTTTCTGCCGTAATGTAAATATTCAAGCTGTGTGTGCAAGCGCTGTGCATTTAATTAGACATTCTCATTGGTGTACTTACAGTATAATATTAATGCACAATTATTCGAAATATGGCCGAATGCAATAAGTGAATTGGAGAAGCTAGTTTTTCGATAAAGGTAAAATGTGTCAAAACTGCATCATGATGAATTGCTGTATTTCTGAAAAGATGCCCTGGCCTACAAATCTTGTTCTCTAGATTTAAGAAGTCATGATTGTTTTGTTTTCTTTCACATAGTGATATATTTAATAGTTTCTTAAGTGAAGTTTAAATTTGAAGTTCTAATATAATAATTCTGACACTAATTATGATATATATGGCAATATCATGTATATATCATACCACTAATTTGTCGTGACCAGATACAATATCATGTATATATCATACCACTAATTTGTCGTGACCAGTGATGAGTATCATGGTCAAAAGGTATCACTGAGTGTGTTTTGGGGTATACCCTTTCTTTATCTTGACCATTTCATGTGGGATGACTCATTTTGTGTTTTTTCCATCCCAGCTGGCAACGGAGGCATCAGAGTTTATGATAAGTAGGGGATGCAGACGTCTTTGAAGATGTAGCACAGCAACCCAATGCTGGTGTATTTACTATCACATCTGACAACGGTAAACTTGATTCCCATTTCTTTCAGAAGACCCAGTTATACTTTGGTTGTGAAAAACCAACAAATGGTGTTTATTTGTTCTCTCCTCCCTCTCTCTCCTGAACTACACTTAGATTCCAAGGGGACAACCTTTTCCAGCTCTTCTCAGTCCACCATGCCACTGCTTGATGTCTTAACCAACTCAGCACTGTACGTTTCAGCTTCTGGCTCAGATGATACAGTCCTCCTGGATGAGGAATGAAGCGCTTCCAGAAAACAAGAGAATGCTGATAATGATGTCAAACATGTAAGTTGATGTGTAAAATGTATTTATTGTGAGAGCCTCCTTCGCACAGTTTTTTGATTGGTAGCTCTTTCTGTAGGTGTATTTACTGTCAGTTGCTCATGATTATTTATTGTTAGTGAATATTGGCTTGTCTTCTACTCCTCACAGTTAATTGAGTCTGCACTGACCATGAAACCTGGTGGAGGTCGTATCATCAAGGCGAAGAAAGCTCTGACTGACTCCTCACAGCAACATATGGTTAAAGGATGATCTCAGGATTTTTAAACCTGGGCCCCATTTTCACATATTTTGGTATTGAAATGACTCGTAGGTACATAAAGTTTTAAATCAGTGCAGTAGATGGCTTCCAGAAGACATTCTGTTTTTAACGGGAAGCTGAAATCTCAAAGACAATTCTCACTCTAAAATCTCGTGAGACACATTCAACACAAACACACAGCAGGCACACGCCGGCTTCACAACTCTCTCAGGGCTTATTTGGTAGATTCTGGCTGGAGTTGATTGGTAGATTCCAAATGATGGCATGATAATGACGTTTGTTATGGGCTACAATTCTCCCCTGGAATGCACTTTAAACAAACATTTTCAGTATTAAGAGAGATTTTACATGTACCATGTCTTTTAACAACAATTTCAGTATTTAAAATGAATTTGCAGTTTAATAGTGAGTGCTAAATGAGCCGTCACACTCAAGAAGAACTACAAACTAAACCTTGAGGTTAAATGTTTTTATTTTTAATAAATTGTATGGATTACATGGATGTATGGTGGTTGTTTTTCGTCCCTGCAAACATTAAAAGTTTTACTTGTTTTAAGTGTAAGCTGGACATGGTGAAGTAGAAAACTGTAAAACTCTAGAAAGTAGTTGTTTAGATTTTTATTTCAACAAAGTGTTTGGCAAGAATAACCCTTAAGGTGAGTAAATGTTAGTGACTTTTACCACTTACAGGAGTCAATGAAAAGGTTTAACAGAGTAAATTTTGAATAACAGTGGGTGTTATTTCTTTCTTAGTGTAGATCTTGAATTGCATTTCTTAGTGTGGTATAGTGTACAATATTAACTTACACTCTAAATGTTCAGGCTTACTGCTGACTTCACTGTGCTAACCTTGTAGTATAATAGAGACAGTAATTCACATAATGGCCTCAAGAGGGAGGCTGCTGGCAGATGCTGTGGGATGTGGCTGACCAGCTTGAAACCAGGAAGTTTCAACTGTTACATCCAGTGCTTAAATTGAAAGAGTAGTTGCCAGTACTCTCCATTCACATGTTGGTGTGTGTGTTGGTTGGTACACAACAAGGAGGAGGCTGGCTTGAAGCTTGAAGGAGAACATTAGCACAGTGGCATCCTAACGCTACACTGCAGAGGCACAAGCTGAAGGAGTAACTAGTTAGTTAGTATAATGTTATATACCATTAAATAAAAGGTATACTGGTAATATATGTAATAATGCATTACTGTGATAATACATTTTGACCAGTGGCTGTGTAGCCCCGACCACTACCAGAGAATTACAGCTACAACCCACTCTCCAGTGAAGTCAAGGCAGTAGTAGTAGATCTGATCACATCGCTATAACCAATCCTGCTTCGGACTGATGTTGGCACCACCCACTCAATTAGCATACGGGCATAAATAAATGTGGAACTGTGGAAATACAGGCATAAATAAATGTGGAAATTCAGAAATAAATACAGAAATAGCCTTTTTTATTACAAAAATATTTAATTTTAATTTATTTCTGCATTTAATTATTTATTTATTCATTTATAGATATACCATTTTTGGTCCCTCATATTTCGGTGTATGACTCAGAGTGGGCAACTCTACTGGATTGTTACTTGTTTGATAGATTTGGATAACAGCCGAGACAGCCGGAATACAAAAAAAAGATTTCAAAATAAGATACTCAAAACATAAGCAATAAAGGTGAGGAAACTTTAAAGGTTCAGTGTGTAAGATCTAGTGGCATCTAGTGGTGAGAGTTGTGAATTGCAACACTATCCAGCCTACCACTTCCCCCTAACCTTACAAAGAGGGTAAGACAGCTACAGTGTCTGACACAAGATGTCACTTCTGAGAGAGCAAAGAGTGGCCAGTCAAGAAATGAGGTTTCTTTAGGTATATTTATTAAGAAATGATATTTACTTAATTATTCAGTAAAACCATATGTTATTGTGATAACATGGAAAATGTTAGCCAAGAGTGTGAAACGCTGTTACTCTTTCTGCACCACAGTCCATTATAAACCACACATTAAATAAAGTTTATACAAACATTGACAAGGGAAACACGTTCATTCTTTCTGTGATTATGGACCCTCGCCCAAACTGCCCGCCAACAATAAGATCTGGCTCGCGGCCAGATTATGGTGCTTTGATAGCAGCAAAAAATAAATAAATACCTTGATAGCTTTGCTTAAAAATAGATCTCAGTCATGACAGCAGTTACTCACATAATCACTTCCTCTTTAGTGGTTTTGCCTACAAAATAAATGTGAGAAAGCTTGTTTATTATTATAATTTCTGAAAGAGCCATCAGAAAACATCCATCCATTGTCAACCGCTTATCCTGCATACAGGGTACACGCTGGAGCCAATCCCAGCTGACATCGGGACAGGTCGCCAGTCCATCGCAGGGCCACACATAGACGAACAACCACTCACACCTAAGGACAATTTAGGGTCGGCAATTAACCTAGACTGCATGTCTTTGGATGGTGGGAGGAAGCCATGCAGACACGGGGAGAACATGCAAACTCCACACAGAAAGGCCGGGGCAACCAGGGTTTGAACCCACAACCTTCTTGCACCACCGTGCCGCCCCCGTCAGAAAACATGATTCCCCTAAATGTCCTCTGCCTGAATGAAAAAGTGTCCGTAGGTTGATGGATGTGGATCAAACACCGAAAACAGAAACAGTGCCGCACATGCCGTGATCTCAGAAACACAGAGTCCTGACCTCAACCCAATAGAACACCTTTGGGATGAATTAGAGCGGAGACTGTGAGCCAGGCCTGACCTCGAACCTGAGACCTTGAAAACTCTACTCTCCATTGGAATGGAGAAGCATAAGATAACAATTTCACAGATGTTCAGATGTTCATACACACAAACACAACCCTGGCATGTCCTAGTGGACAGTTTAATGCCAGAGAAGATGACTATAAGTAAACAATGGTAGACATATAATTATCACCATTGCTATAAGACGGATCAATTTTCTGCCACCACAGTTGGCTATAAAACCAAAACAGTGAGCTACATAGAGATTAGGTGAACTGCAGTTTGTGTTAATTCTGTGTGGTTTACAATTTGTAAGATACTGATTATAGTAGTTTTATGTATTCTCTAATCTTAGAGTTTCATGTTGCTTTTTCTTTGTCAGCTTGTGGCTGAGAAACAACGAGCCTGAAGCAACAAAGAAGCACAGTGATAGCCTTCATCGGAGAGAAGAACTGAAGAGACTGAAGAAAGAATTGTGTCATAAATTTAATCTTGCTAACATCAGGTACACGTAACGCTATTGTTTCCCCTAACACACAGTAAGTGCTGTGGGAGCTGCTAACAACTGTTCACAACACTGTAGTCTAGCTGAATATTTCCACTTATCTCTCTGATGAATCTGATGAACCTTATTTTTGGCAAAATAATCAGCAGCTACCCAGATCCAACACCCTGGTCAGATATTAACTCTGAAACTTGTTCCTCTGCATCGTAAGTCACAGAAGAGCATGATTTAAATTATGATATAGTAAAGGTAATAGCAAAAGTATACTCAATTGTTCTATTGTGGACTGTGACTGTGCTGTAAAGGTTCAGTGTGTAAGATTTTGTGGCATCTAGCGGTGAGGTTGCGAATTGCAACCAAGTGTCCAGTCTACCAATTCAATTCAATTCAGTTTTATTTATATAGCGCCAAATCACAACAACAGTTATCTCACAGCGCTTTTCATAAAAGAGCAGGTCTAGACCGTACTCTATGATGCTACCACTGCCCCCTAACCTTTCAAAGAGAGTAGGTCAGCTACGGTGGCTGACGCAGCACAAAAGGTGTCTCTTCTGAGACAGCAGAAAGGCCAGTCAAGAAATGAGGTTTCTTTAGGTAGACATATTAAGAAATTATATTTACTTAATTATTCAGTAAAACCATATGTTATTGTGATAACATGGAAATGTAAGCCAAGAGTGTGAAACACTGTCACTGTTTCTGCACCACAGTCCATTATAAACCACACAGTTTATATAAACATTGACAAGGGAAACACGTTATTCCCTTTGTGATTATTGACCCTCGCCAAAACTGCCCGCCAACAATGATATCTGACCAGCGGTCAGATTACGGTGCTTTGATAGTGGCAAAATAAAAATATTTTGATAGCGGTGCTGAAATAGATCTCAGGCATGACAGCAACAGTACTCACATAATCACTTCCTCTTTAGTGGTTTTGCCTACAGCATAAAACCGCGAGAAGCTTGTTTACTGTAATGCTTATTTGGAGTTGAACTAAGAGCTTTTACTTTGAGTCTGTGATTCCCCTAAATCTTTTCTGCCTGGAGATACTGGAGAAAAGAAAGGCTAAGTTCGGACTGCACGCCTTAATGCTCAATTCCCAGATCTGACAGTTGACATTATTGCTTAAATGTGGCCTATATCAGACTACAGTGTGAATTGTCCGCGACCTGAAAGTGACCCGCATGCGCAGAATAGCGACACGTCACACACAGCAGCACGCTGTCATACAGAAGTAAACAGAGTCACACCGTTTAGCTCCTACTTGCCAACCCTCCCGATTTTCACCGGAGACTCCTGTTTTTCATTGTCTTTTCACGGGTCACATTTCTCCCAAATTATGAAAAGGGCTCACAACTTTGAAGAAGTGAAGATGTTAACAAATAAAAAGCGACAGACATCACAGATGCAACAAGTCTTTGAGCTGGAGTCCAAGTTAAGTCTCAAGTCTTTGAGCTGGAGTCCAAGTCAAGTCTCAAGTCTTTGAGCTGGAGTCCAAGTCAAGTCTCTCGTGGTTATTAACCTGCTGCGTTCAATCCAGGTTGCTAATAAAACTGCATAGCTATAAGGAATACAGTAACTGTAACCTGTTTTGCATTTACAGAGCACAAACATGTAATGTGAAATGCAATTATTGATGGCTCATTAAATACTGTAAGTCAAAACACTCCCCAGACTCTTAGACCCAGTGTAACGTTAACTAAATAAAACTGTGACGTTGCATAATCAACAATAAACCTGTAACCTGTTTTTAACTTACAGAGCACAACCATGTAATGTGCAATGCAATCAATGACAGTTTAAACTACTATAAGTCAACACATCCTCCTGACTCTCAAACCAGTGTAACATAATAACAAAATAAAACTGTAAGGTTACATGATCAACAATAAACCTGTTACCTCTTTCCAGCCAACGGTAATTATTAACGTGATGGCAGCCAGCGGGACGTAATGATTACGTTAATTGACCACCACAAGTTTGGCAAGTAAACAAACGCTTGTTCATCATTTCATTATGAACGACAGTTGTAAACCTCTTGTAGGTCGTAGCTGAAGCAAGAAGCAAGCTCCCCCCAGAAAATTTTGAGCATTAAACACTTTTCTGCATTATGGTGAATTTTTCTGCACCAATTTCGGTCTTTCCTGCATCAGATTTTAGTGGAATCTCCCGTAGATCAACTTTCTCATGTAATATCATCCCTGCTGAGTCATCACACATGCAGATGAAAAAAACAATAATTTTGTT